CCAACTGTTAGATCAGTGTACCAGTCAAATGTAGCCCCTTTGAGGAACGTACAAATTGTTTCACCATCAGGTCACCGTAGGTACTGGCATTATTACATGTTTCAATGAAATGAGCAACATGCTGTTTTGGATTGCCTTTCCCAACAAATTATTGAAACTTCAGTAGTTGGTAGCCTATTGGCATCTGTATCTCGTCAATTCGTTTGGTATATAGCGTCGCATATACTAACGAAGACTGGGGAGCTCCTCTATATTAGGCTCGAATGGTATCAGCAATCATATGTTGAAGTTGTTGGACAAAGAGTGCGGCAACAGACATTTAAGAAGAATCTCGCATGGCATTTTTTGCCACGGCTCGATCATATTGCTCTTGTTTTTGTTGTTGTTCTAAAAACTTTGGATTTTTTGGCATTTTAGTACTAGATGGACTTAAAGTTTCTTAACTGCTACCTTTTGAAGGTTCTTGCAATTCAAGCCGGTTCATGAGTGCAGCGATTTGCATTTCTTTACCTTCAAGAGCCTTAGTCAACTTCTCGACCGTAGCAATGAGTTGTTGAAGATGTTTTTCAGATGAAGTGGTTTCTGTCACCATCACAGGCATAGGCATATCAGAGGTTGAGCAATAATCACCCCACTTCTGTTTAGGAGAAATCTCAAAGATTCAATCTTCGAGCTTGTGTTGGAATGTGTGTTAGGCAAAGAATCGTCTGGCACTTCCTCCAAATCGATAGAAAAATGAGGATGTTGTCTTTTTCTACTTGGAAGAGCCTTCCTTTTACTTTGCCTAGATTGATGCTCCATCGGTGGTAAAAGTTGAGATTTACCCGCCTTTGTTCTGACACGGGTTATTGGAATTGACTCCTCGACCAGGTCCGCTAACTTGTTGGTGGGAGGAATCACGATGTCTTTAGTTGTCAGACTTGTTGACTTGAGAGATGAGAGGAAGAGAGGGTCTCATCGGGCGTGTCAAAATTTGTAACGACAAAATTTGTGATGTAAATTAACACAAAATAAGGTCAAATTACAATAGTCAATTTGATTGATTTTAAGTAAAAAATGTAGTGTTGACTCTCTTTGGCATGTTTCGCACGTGCACTGTCCTCTGATTCTCAGTAAATTTGATGAAGTTAATGAATTTGGTGAAGATGAAGGCCAGATTGACGTATTTCTCACTCTTTAATTGGTGGCTTTGATGAAAACGAGAGCTGAATCAATGTATCTCCTACTCTTCAATTTGATGATGCTTTTGATGAATCTCCTCCCCGTCCTTCATTTGGAAGGGCTTGAAGATGATTTGGATTTCTTGAAGAAGGACCTTGGCAGTGTATTATTCTTCTTGGAGATGAACTTGTAAGGCTTTAAGTCTTTAGTGAACTTCGACCAGAGCTTCGCCGATCTTCCTTTCTTCTTGGCTTCTTCTCTCTTTTTCCCTTTTTTTGGCCTATCCCAGACCTCTATTTATAGTGGTAGGAGTAGTTATCCATATAAATGTATTTTACCTGAATACAATTATGTGGACTTTAGGTTATGAGCTACCCATAAATTTGTGGGCTTTAGTTAATTTATGGAATTTAAGTCTAACTTTTTAAATGTTTGTTTAATTTGGGCTTATGGAATTTAAGTCCATTTAATTTAGCAAGCCTTGTTAATTATATTTTGGCTTCTATTATTTGAGCTATGGAATTTAGGTCCAACTCAAGCTTATTTAATTACATTTAGACTTATATCATTTGAGCTTATGAAATTTAGTTCCAATCCAATTTTATTTATCTAATTGATTTGAGCCCAATTATAGACATTAATTTTTTAATTAAAATTTTAATGTCTACAGTTATACGAAGACCAAAAAGAATCCTATCAGACTTGAAATAGCACCTAAAATGGATCATATCTTAGATCAATTGCACCATCATGCATGCACATATATGTGCATAAAACCATTTATGTATGCAAATATATGGATTAATGTGTATATAAACAAGTGTCCAAGAAAAGAGGAAGAGGGAGAACATCTTGTCCTTCAGGAACGGTTCCTCTTCCCTAGAATGAAGGTTAATCTCGACATAGTTTAGATATACAGCATCAGGACAATCAAATCTGTGAATCTCATTATAAATTTACTTTCACTCATCTAAAGTGAACTAGTTTTTTGTAGCTTTCTCCCAAACTAGGTTTGAAGTCATTTCGGAAACCTTGTTCAAAATCAGGTTTCTCTTATGCTAAAAGCCTATGATGAAACTGTTTTATTCTGAAACACATCTAACTTCACTTCTCATGCCTATATGTAGTTCCTTCTGAGGGTTTAAGAATCTTTTTTGGTCAATTGAAGCCGGATCCTGTTTATTTGATTTTTTTTTTCTCGATTTGAATTATCCATGGTTGACAGTATGCCCCAAAGTGATTTAACGTTGGATGATTAAGCAATATCCAAAAATTTTATACAATGTACATTACTCAACTACATTAATTAATTTTTATTATATCAGGCATAAATATTTCATTAGAGAGAGAACAAGAACATAAATCGGTCGATAAGAATACAATGTGGTCAAGCAGTTATGATTGTGTTTAAATAGGCGTGCAGTATGCGTGCTAGTTGCACACAAATTTACTTGTGCTTATAGTGATTTGATTGGCGTGCAAAATGCGTGCAATCGGCGCAGCTATAGACTTTGACTAGTCCAACCTATTGAAATTTATGGTCTCAACTAAAGTTTTGGGCTTTCTTTGGCATGAGCTAGAAAATTTGGTCCAATCAAATTCTGGGTTGGGCTTACTAGAACATTAGCCCATGTGTGGGTCGCGGACCAAAGAATTTTCTTCTTCCTTTTTTTTAATGTAAATGTACTATTTTTATGTATTTTAATATAGGATAAATTTAAGGGACTTAGGGAGGCTGGTACTTCCTTAAAAACTTAATAGGATAAAAGTATATTTTTAAAAATTATTAGGATAAAAGTACATCTACTAAAAAAAAATCATAAATGCCCTTTTACCCCTGCCATAAATAGTGTATACCCAATTGAATGTGAAATTTCAAGATTAGGATGTGAAAATTTTAAGATTTCTTTGATATTTGTATATTATTTGAATTTTAAAATTTCATATATATATATATATATAATAATATATATATTTGCCCACTTAAAGAGTTATATTTAAAGAGGGACTCAGAAAATTGTCATGCAAACAATGTCACCAAAGAGAGATATGAGATAATGACAAAGGGGGTCCAATCAATGAAATCATGTAATGCCGCCTTCATAGTACTCAAGTAGTGTCAGTAAAAAATGATAACAATAGATTGACGGTAAATTATGACAATATTTGTCCACTCAAAAAATTGTACTTAAAGAGGGACTTGAAAAATTGACATACAAACAGTGTCACCAAAGAGAGACACGAGATAATATATATATGTGTGTGTATATATATGTGTGTGTGTATGTATATATATGTGTGTGTGTGTGTATATATTGCAAACTTAGTTGAGAAGCATAATCAGTTCTGCAGGAAATTGTTTATGATATCTTAGGCGATTCGTGGTAAGTGGCTAATTCACAATATTCATTTCAATGGTCGTTATTGCTGTATGAAATCTTCTATAATTGACTCGTTTAGACTTTAAAACTTATTGCTACATGGGTTAGGTGCTTTGGTGCATTGCTTTAAAGAGTGCAAATGCATTAGTGATCATGCCAATATGGATATATTGCAGGTGGTTTTTCGGCATTTCTATAATATGCCACAGGCGGTGCTTGACATGTATGCTAAGATGAAGCAAATATTAAAACAATTGAAGTGATTTAAAAGCCGGCTAGGTGGGATAATTTAAGGCATACGTGTTACTTGGGCTTCAAGGCCACTTTGATGATCAAATGGAGCATGAGTTAGGAAGTTGAGTCTGCCAAATGTGTCTGAGTCAGACCATTATGAGGTCATATGAGTATTCTAAGGTTGAATGAGCTATGCCACTTTTTGATTTTAGTATACAAGTTTTTCCAAGGGGTAGTGTTACATTTATAATTATATTTTCAAATTCCATAGGTCACATGAGTTAGGCTTGGTTAGGTCGAGGTCAATGAGTATCATAGTTGAACACAAAAGTCGAAATGTGTAAGGTGTAATAGAAGCTAGCATGACTTCGGTGGATTGATACCGATTAAGCATGGTAAGTGAACCTAAAAAATGAAATAGTTAGGGCTCGCTTCTCGCTTGCATGATGCTCGAACGAAGATTACTTTAGCTCCAACAAGTACTGATACTCAAGTAATTGTTGGATTCTCAGAGCCCCAATCTATATTCTCTCAATTGTTTTAAAAATACTTATACACGTCTATAAGAAGAGAAAACAAACATCTAGATAGCCAAAAGCTAAACCCTAGCTTTCATGGGTGACGAAAATCATCCAAGCTTCTACCTTTCTTTTGAAGAGTTATCATCTAGTCTGTGAATTGTCCAGGGAGACATACCCTAATCACACACTAAACCTCAGACTAAATTTTATACTGATTCGATAGGTTTCAAGCATAGATTCTTTGGTGAATTCTGAAGATGAGGAACAATTTGGATTCAAGTTGAGTCATTTAATGGGATTTTAGCCCGTACTAGTTTCCATGGGATTTCCCATAATTAGTCCGTGTGTTTATTGTTGTGTTATTTAATTTGCTGATTTCTTCAAACATAAAGGGTAAAATTAAATATATTAGTCTTGTGGTTGTACAATCCCGGTTATGTTTGCATATTATTTGCTTTATATCACTAGGATTAGTTTTACACTACAAGAAAAAAGACATTAACTGGTGTTTATTAAACGCTGGTAAATGTGAATAGACGCTACAAAATTTTTGAATAAATTACCGACGTATAATTAAACGCCACAAAAATTAAAGTGACGTTTCCTACCCAATAAAACGGCACTTATTTAATCGACGAGTTCCTTTTAAAATTTAAGTGACCGGAGCTAATAAACACCGGTAATGATATTTTTTTTTTTTTTTATAAATCAGCACAAAAAAATCTGCCATACAATTTGCTTCCCTATAAACACTCTGCTCAAAATTTCCAAAATAGTCTGCTCAAAAATTCAAATAAGAAAACAACAAAATTTTAAAAATTCCAAACCAAAATAAGCTTCAACAGCATCCTCCAAAAACAAGCTTTTCAACAACATCCTCCAATCCATAAAAAAACATCTCTCCATTTAACCTCCTCCACTGGATAATACAACAGCACTTCTCTTTCCCAGCAGCATAATCCTGAACCTTAGGCTTAAGAGGGAGAGTCACTTGGGCGGGAATTTCGCTCTCTTTTGTCGATGAACCTACATTTAATATAAATTAACACATGAATTCCACATAAAACAATAAAAATGAAAAGCACTAGTGCCAAATTTTCTCACTTGAATCTAAGGTTAAGTCAATAATAAGGTAGCCATAAGCTTAAAAATGAACAGAGCATGTTTTGAAAATTGCAATATTACAAAAGATAATTGGTAGAATTATAGCCATTTCTATGGTGATCCATCACAACATGAAAAAAGAAAAGTACAATGATCCTAGAGACACTAACATTCATGAAAGCCACCATTGACTAATTTTCTCATTTTAATGATCCCAGTACAATGATCCACCATTGATCGTTAGTCTTTCCCAGTACAATGATCCCAGTACAATGATGCACCATTGATTGTTAGTCTTTCCTCATTTCATGACTAATCGGTTTCACAGGATTTTTTGTTTAACATATGGCTGATGACAGGAGAAAAGGCATCCTAGTACTGATGTAGTAACAGAGGTTCTTTCTCAAAAGCCATGCCACAAATTTTCTGAGAAGAAACTATGAGAAACTGATCAAGCAAATATAAAGATACAAAACAACTGCATTGAGAAACCAAATCTGTTCAATGCCAGGAAGATCAACCATGAATTTTGCCTAGAAAACATAGAAGTGTTGACACACAGAGAGGAAAGAGAGACAATGCACAAAGAATGGTACACTTCAAAGTAACTAAGCCATGGAGCCTCTACAAAGGTACTTCAAAGTAATTGCAACAAGATCAGTACTATTCCATTTATTGACTCACCTGACCAAATGAAGATGCTCTTGAATGACCTCGAAACTCTGTGTCTCGCACTGCCGGACTTCTTGACTCACTCCTCATCGATGATCGATGGGAGTTTATATTATGAGTACTAGATGCATCAGGTACCTTTTAAGATTGCAAATACTTAATATTCGTGGAGAAAAATAATAAAATAATACAATAACTCTTCTAACTCAAAATATAAGTCACTTAAGTTTTTATTACCTTTTCAACCCGAAATGGATCTGTGTTTTTTGCGAGCTGGTTCGGTAATAGGCATACCCATTGCACGCATTTGGACGAGAAAAACCTCAAACTGTCTTTGTTGAGCCTCAAACTTAGCTTCCATATGACTCATTTGCTTCTCCATTTGTGCCTGCTGAGCCTCCATCTCTAACTGCTTAGCCTCCATCTCTGCCTTATGTCTACTCAATTGCTCATCTAGTTGGGATTGCATTGCTTGCATCTCTTCTGATTTTTTATGTCCAAACACATCTCTCGGAGATGGTCCAAAACCATATGTTCTAACACATCCAGGTCGCTCCGGTCCCATGACTTGAGTGAAAACTTCATCTACTGCAGATGAAGATTGCATAGAAGACTCGGGCATTTGTGACACAAGTTCATCCATGTCTAACTGCAGCAAAAAATAATTTGAAATAAATATGAAACATAGGCGAAATAAGAATGGATAAATAGTGAACATCTTTCTTGCCAATATTACATATCAAGGCTTGTGCAACAACATCATTAACTGGTCGACCATCTTTCTTTGAATATGCAACATTAAAAAATTCAATACGACTCATTTTCTTTCCATTATTCTTTTTCTTTTCCGACAGTTAAAATAGACACAATAAATAAACTTGAATAAAATTCTTTTATAAACCACATTTGTTTTCTAACAAATCCTTTCCATAACACATGCAAAGCTTGTTCGGCCAGTGGTGTGATAGAAATTTTTTCTTGCTCCGAATGAATTTGTTCCTCTCACTTTTTTCCTATTACATGCCAAAAGCAATTATCATAAAAATTTGAAGAAAAGAGAAATGACTTTTTTTAGAATTGACAAGATTTAGACTTGCATATTTGTACCTGTGCCTTCGGAGTGCTCCAATAATAGGCCAAGGACCGCCAATGTGATTCTTCCACTCGGTTAGGCTTGTGAGCTAATCTTTCCCGGGAGCACGAGGACCATCAATAATCAGTGTTAACATCATATAAGGTAGTTTCATGCACAACCATGGCGGCAAGTTGTATGACATTAAAATAACAGGCCATGTACTATGAGAAATACTCATTGTCCTGTATGGATTAAACCCATCAGACGCTAATCCAAGTCTAACATTACGTGCATCATTAGCAAAACTGGTCAAGAGTTTTCCAAGTAAGAGAATTAGCTGGATGTCTTGGTACCCCATCATTTGTTCGGTCTATTGCATGCCATGTCATCAATGCTGCTGTTTTTGATGACATAAACAATCTCTGAAGTCTTGGTATTAAAGGGAAATACCTTACAACTTTTTGCGGGATTTTTGCCCTCCAATATTTGTTTCATCTCCTTGACCATCAATTTGTTTATATCTAGATGTTTGACATTTCTGGCAGTCATTCCTAGCAGCTGTCTCCTTCCAATACAACATGCAATCATTGGGACATGCATGTACCTTAATGCAATCTAGACCTAAATCTTTAATCAATTGCCTAGTTGCATAAAATGAAGTGGCAAAGTGTTACCCTCAGGTAACATATCCTTTAGTACTTGAAGTAACATTGTGAATGACTTGTCGCTCCATCCATTAAGACACTTGATGTGCATAAATTGAACGACAGATGATAGTGTCGGAAAACTTGGTACATCCCGGATATCTCATTCAGCTTCATTCAATAGTTTGAAAAACTTTTCTGTTGCCTGATCAGGCCCTTCTCTATTATCCCTTTCAAGTTCACCACTACTCATTCCATAAATTGGACTTGGAGGGGGAATACCAAATGCATCATGCAACATTTCTTGAATTTCATCTCCTAAACTAGAGTCACTTGATTCATTATCTCTAGAAACCGAAGCAAATGATATTTCCCCATGAAAAATCCAACGAGTGTAACTTTCAAGAAACCCATCTACAATCAAATGCTCTTCCAAAAGTTCCACTTTTACCAATCTGACATTACGACATTTTTGCATGGCCACGTGAGTTCCAGTGCATTTGGTTTATTTTCACTTGCAAACTTGATAAAATTCTTAACTCCTTGTTCATACAACGGGTCCAGTCTATGTAAATGTATCCAACTCTTATCCATAAAGGTATTCCAATATGATATGCTTACAAATCTGAATCATCAAATATATGCGGTTCCAAGATACTAAAATAATTGAACACAAAAAAAAAAAAAAACAAGGAAAAAAGAGAGTTGGAAACTCGGCAATCCTATGCCATATTTTTTCAAGAGATTTCTGAAGTGTATAGGCATAGATAAGAAAGAATCAAATAATTCACACTGGCTAGCATAAAGGAGAGATGATATGTCATCACCGGTGAGTTAACAATAAAACATAAAAGACTGCAGTTGGGAGTAAACTAATATCTGTTAGCATTCCTTCCATTTTTAGACTATCAAAATGAATTAAACAGAAACCTGAATTCTGAAGCTGCAGTTACTTTGGATGTATGTTACACATCAAACAAACTACATTGTTCAAACATATAGCTTTGTTAAATCCTTCCTTTCCTAACAATATTTCTCTAACCAGAAAGAAAACTCACAGTAGCAGATACATAAGGATCCTAAATTACCTAAACATTTAAATTTTTTTTTTTCCTAAAATTAAAATCTTTGTATGCTAATGATTAACATCTTGGTAACAAAAGATTAAAAATCAATCCAAATAATTCTGGATTATGCGGAGATTAAGCAAAACAGCAGCAAATGCTCCTACTTCAATTCAGACCAGAAAACAAAACAAAAAAAATTAAGTAAAAATTAAAGCATATCGCCAATTCATACACATACTAACTAACTACTCATCTAAGGGAGCGAATTAAAAGATAAAGAAAAGAAATACAATCAAAATACTATATCTACCATAGCATTCAAGTTTACTAACCGAACAATCCAATATATATAGAAAAAAGCAAAAAAAAAAAAAATATATATATATATATATATATATATTCAGATCATTTGCTGCTGTTTAACATCTTACCAAAAGAGAACCAATAAGAGAGTCTGTATGGAACAATGCAGTCTGAGCAGTTTTGTTCTGTGAAGAAGTCGTGAGAAATGAGAATTAGAATGCTTGGGAGGAGAGAGATTTATCTGATTTCAGAGGAAGGAGCAGCCACTGATGATTTGATGAAAAGAATATTCCTTGCCATTGAGACCAAATCAACACCAAATTCTTTAAGGCATTTTCTCAAACAGGTGGAGGGTGGGTTGGTGTGTGACTAAGATTTGCTAGAAGGAGACAGAGGGAGGCAGGGAGAGAGACGAGAAAGTAGAAAATATGTAATCAAACCAGTAATTTAAACATGCGTATTTAAATTCAGATTCACACAATTGAAACATACTCAGTTGTATAATCGGCGGAGACTTTGGAGTTGCCTGAGGTAGACGAAGCTGCCTGAGATTCGACTTTGGACAGAGAGTGATTGAGTATGTGAATCTCACAAATCTGGACGTGAGAGAGAGAGAGGAGAGAGAAGGATTCGCGATCGCCAGGGAAAAATCAATAGAGTTCCGCATGAAAAAATCAATGAAGTTTGCAACAGAGAGGAAAAAATGAAAATGAAGTCGAGAGATTAGGCATTTGATGAGTTCGTCGGATTCTCGCCTGAGGTAGTCTCGAATATGTAGTGTAGTTTGCAACAGAGAGTTCATTTTCTGATGAGTTCGTCGGAGAGAGAGAGAGAAGTCGAGAGATTGGGGAAAAATTTGGGGTTTATGTTGGTGGAGGGAAAAAAAAAAGCTTTTTATTGTTTTTAATTTTATATTATTTTTATTAATAATTTGTGGCGTTTAACTTAAACTCCGGCAATAAAGCAGAAAAAAATAAAGATTTTTATTATTTTTATTAATAAAACGCTAATTTTAGTGAAGTTTAAGTTAAACGTCGGAAATTATATGTCGGATTTGCCCATATTTCTTGTAGTGTTATATACAAAGTTAATCGTTCAATAGTTGTATTTATTTTTTTGAAAGATACCCCTCCTCTTGGTCTATCCATATGGTTAAAAACTTCGTTGTTAAAGATTTCAACGACATACACTTTTTATTATATCATTCTTTTAAATTATGCAAGATGACAATACCCTTAAACTAAGGGTGTTTCTTCTTTGGTGAATGGAGACCCATCTATCGACCAGATTTGGGTGACCTTGTAGTGAAAAATTGAATGAATTATATTTATAGTTATGAGGGACACTTGACTTTCCTCTATTTTAAAGAATCTATACTTTATTCCTTCAATTTTGAGAGTAGTGTGAAAGATTTAAAAGAAATAGTAATTAATTATAAAAATATAATAATACCTCAAATCAGATGTGTAGGTGTGCGCATATTGATATGCCCAACAATCAAGCACCAAAATAAAATCCATTACCGAGATTTAATAGCGATAATGAGCACTTAGCATATGCAAGTCTAGACTTTATGAAGACAAGAAGTCTATCCACAATAAATGACTTGCAGGCTTTGTTAACAAGGAAGAAGAAAAAGTTTGTCTATTGTAAACTTAAGCCTTATCCCATTATGATATTTGAAGATTTGCCATTTTCTTGAATTACCTATAAAAAGGCATCAGAATTCTCATACTGAGGCATTTCAACCTTGTAAAGTTTAGTGATAGAATTTGAGGTTCTTCTCAAATCAGGGGCCATCACATCAAATGGTATTGTCTAATCACGTGGTACTATTAACTTGGTACTATTCAGTATTCACACAATACTATTTATTAACGCTGACATTTCAATTTTGCCAGTATCTGATTTGAGAATTTGTATGGCTGTAAAGTTCAATGTAGTGAAGTTAGACGGAAGAAATAACTTTAGCATGTGGTGATGTGCCTTGTTGGTAGACCAAGGATTGCTCAAAGCTCAAAAAGGGAAAGATGTTTTACCCATAACAATGTTAGACGATGACAAGTGCGACCTATTGGAAAAGCCACACAATACTCTCACATTGTGTCTTGGCAATCGGGTGTTGCTGTAGGGTATCAAAAAAAAAAAATACAACAGCAGCCACATAGTGGATAAAATTGGAGAGTCTATGCATGAAGAAGTCTCTGATGAATTGTTTATATTAAAAAAAATATTGTTCACCCTTTAGATGCTTGAAGGTACACCTGTCATGGACCATCTTGATGAGTCCAATACATTCAAATTAGATCTGATGAAGATTGATTTTAAACACAATGACGAAGTTCAAGCCATGATTATCATGTGTTCTTTACCACCCTCTATGAGCACTTTGTGGGTACTATGATGTATGGTAGAGAGACTCTTTCCATGGATGACGTTAAGGCAACCTTGAACTTGAAATGGTTAAGACAAAAGGTGCCCAAAAAAATAGATGAAAGCTTAGACGAAGGTTTGGTTGCAAGAGGACAATCAACAGATAAGGGATCAAAAGTGCAAAGGCCAATCTAAATCCAAAGCTAAATCTGGAAAGATCAAATGCTTTCATTGTTGTAAGGGATGACAAATTAGAAAAGACTGATTGAAGCATAAAGGCAAAGCAAAGATTGAAGACTAAAATTCTAATAACATTGCCGGTGTTATAGAGAAAAGTTCCATTGGTGCTAATATTCTCACATATAGTACCAACAACTACAGTGAAGGGTGGATTCTTGTTTTGTGTTGCTTCTACCATGTGTCCTAGTAAGGACTGGTTTGCATTAATTAATTAATCGATTATGGTAAGGTCCTTATGGGAAACAACATAGCTAGTAATGTTGTTGGGACAGGAACAATACGAATCAAGATAGACAATGTATTATGAGGACACTTACAAAAGTTAGGCACGTTTCAGATTTGAGGAAAATCTTATTTCTTTGCCTATGCTTCACTCCAACTACTGCATTTCTAAAGTTGAAGGTGGAGTTATGAAAATTTCTAAAAGTGTCCTTGTCATGAAGAAAGGACAAAAGCATAATAGCTTATATCTACCACATTGTAGCACAATAATAGGTATTATTGTCGAATTCAAGCTCATCATCAAATTCAAGCTCAGACACTACCACATTATAAATACAAAATTAAGGCATGTGAATGAAAAGGGGTTAGATGGGATAAGCAAACAAGGTTTGTTGAGTGGTTAGAAAACAAGAAAATTGGACAGTTGATTGCATATTTTGAAAGTAGGGTAGGTTTTGAAGTTTGGTATGTTTGCTCATTAGAGTAAGGGTACTTAGGAGTATATATTCTGACATTGGGGGACCCTCTTGTGTTACCTCCCTCAGTGGTGGATGATAAATGTCAACCTTCATTGACGATTTTCTCGTAAGGTCTAGATCTTTATCTTGAAGAAGAAGGGTGATGTTTTTCTACAGTTAAACCAATTAAAGGCTATGATCTAGAAGCAAACTATTAAACAAATCAAGCACTTGAGAACTTACAATGGCATGAAATTCTATGAATGTGCTTTCAATGAGTTCATTAGAAAGAAGAAATTGTGAGACACGCAGTGAGAAAAACACCATAGGAGATCGAGGTTGCAAAATGGATGAACAAAACTCCTTTGGAAAGAGCATGATGAATGCTCTTAACTTATGGGCTACAACTATTAATACAACTTGTTATCTAGTTAACAAGTCTCTAGCGACAACTATCGAGAGAAAAGCTCCTACAAAGGTTTGGTTTGGATCTTCTATAAATTATACTGGTTTAAGAGTTTTCGGTTGTCCTACTTATGCCTAAGTGAATAATGGTAAACTTGAGCCGATTACAATAAAATGCTTATTTCTAGGGTATGAAAATTGGGTGAGAGTTATAGATTGTGGTGTGCTAGTGCAAAACCACCCAAATGTATATTTAGTAGAGGTGCAACCTTTAATGAGTTTGCTATGCTTAAACCAAAGAATGAGAAATCTCTTAACACTAAAAAAAGACCACGGTGTTAGTAAACAGAGGGAGCTTGAAATGGAAGCTTCAGAGGACTCGCAAAAAAATTTGCAAGATGGTTTCCAAT